GAAGGAGACCCTACCTAAAGTGGATTTGGCAGCAGTGGCCGAGGGAGGCAGCCGCGAACCTCCCGCACCAGTTTGACGCAGCCCTTCCTCGTAAGTGTTTGGCCCGCATGAAGCCAGGCAAGTCTTGCGCTCGTGACGACGGCGTCGTAGCTGAGATGCTACAAGTTTCGAGCAATGAGACTCTCGATCTGCTCGGCGAGATTTCCATTATGAGGTTATTGAACCACCCGAGCGAGCAGCACGATAAGATTTTTGCGCGTCACCAGGTGTCCTTGCTGGCAAAGTTCTGGGGCGCATGCAAAGTTTCGGATTTTAGACCTATTGCGATTCTGTCCAGTGTTCTCAAACTGCACTCGATGTGCGCGGGGGCCCTCGTCGATTTCTACGACCGGCCCCTCTCCCAGGCCCAATTCGCTTTCAGAAAAGGCTTCCAGGTCCATGAGGTTGTGTCCACTACCCGTCTTCTGGTGGAAAAAGCGAAGGAGTTCCAGGAGCATCTCTACATGGGGGTGGGGGACTTTCACAAAGCCTACGACCGCGCCCCGCGTGCCCTCACTATTCGAAATCATCAGCGACGGGGCGCCCCGAGAATTATCACGGCGGCCTGGCTTCGCGAGATTCGAGGAAGCGTTTCTGCGACGCTCCTCCCAGGGCCCCCGCCCTCGAGGCCAGTTTCACGCAGCCGCTCGCTTTTGCAAGGCGACCCTGAGGCACCGTTCCAGTTGTCTCTTTTTGCGGATGACGCCGTCCGCGAGCTTGAAGGTCGCTGCACTAAGGAGGGCTGGGGATACCCTCTGCAGGCGGAGGACCTAGAGATCATGAGACAAAACAAGAGACGACGAAAGGATCTGAAGATCGACCGCCTCAACCTGCTTCTGTCCGCTGACAGTTATTATGTCTGTGCATCCTCTCCCGCCATGCTGACCCAGATGATGGAAGCATGGCATTATATCCTTCGCCGCCGCTGCCAAGTAGTCATCAAGCACAACGAGTGCTTCTGAATTACGACGGCGGATAATGCAAACTCTGCCGTGATCGCGCTCTCGGAGGGAAGGTTGACCCGGATACCCAGGGAGGAGGGGATCAAGATGCTGGGCGCTCACGTTTCCTTTGACGGCAGTGCGAGCAGAGCTGTCCAGAAGGGCATTGCACGTGCATGGTCTTGTTTTGCAAAGAACAAAGCCTCGCTCTGTGCGAGGCGCGCTCCCTTGGGGAAAACGGTTCTACTTCTGGACCGCACCGTCAGGGCTGCTGCCTTTCATTGTTTCGGTTCACTACTGCTCACGAGAGCCCACCTGGCCCAGATACGTGCTGCCCAGTATAGAATGCTCCGCTACATGATCCGCGCCCCCAAGGAGGACCAGGAGGGGGTGGAGAACTACATGGGGAAAACTCACCGTCGCATCCGTGGGGCCCTGGAGAATAACGGCTCGATTCCCTGGGACCACCATGTGCTTTTACTGAATTACTCCTGGGCTGGTCACATTATGCGCATGGAACATTATGACAAACAACGACTCGTTTTCAAGGCTTGCCAATATAAGAATTTTGAGTACCTCTCTCACCTCAAAGAGCTCATCGGCTCCCAGGGCCACCAGCGTAAATTCCATGTATGGCGTTGGGAAAAGCAGTTCTACCAATATTTCGAGAGCCCGCAGTGGAAACACCACACCCAGAACCTCGAGGATTGGCAGGCGTCGTCAGCGGCCTGGCTGGACTGGCGCCTCAAGGACATGGGCTGTTCAAAGGAAAAACGTAGAAAAGGGGGGTCGGGAGACAGTTGGGTGTACTTACAGATGGCCGAATTCACCAGGCTTCAAGCATCCTTGCAATAATTTGTCCTCGTGTGTCTGTCCTGCTGCTGGGGCTCGCCCAACTTATCTTCTCACACATTTAGCGTCTCAGTGTCGGCTAGGGCCCTGGTGCTACCGTTCGAATGTCGAGAGTAAGTAAGTAAGTCGCCGTCCTTTCTCCTTCTTCGTCGTTCGCGTCGTCGCCGTCCTCCCTCCTCCCTCGTTGTCGTCGTTGTCGTCGTTGTCGTCGTTGTCGCCGTCGTCGTCCTCCCTCCTCCCTCGTCGTCGTCTTCGTTGGCGACGTCGTCGTCGTCTTCGGCGTCGTCGTCGGCGTCGGCGTCGTCGTCTTCGTCGTCGTCGACGTCGTCGTCGTCGTCGCCGCCGTCGTCGTCGTCGTCGTCGTCGTCATTGTCGGCCGTCTTGCTTCTCCGGCCTTCTTGGGGCGCTCTTGAGACGCCCCCGAGGGCTCCAAGACGACCCCGGAGCGATATCTGTGCTCGGTCCCGCATGGGTTTTGCAAACCAAGTGGCGGGCGGGTGGGTGGGATGATTGCGCGAGCAGTGGAGTTGACAACTTCAAGTTCGGCAAGAGAGCTGCACCGCGTAGATTGCGCCACATCAGATATACCGTATACGTCACAACATATAGTTCACAACGTAGTGTCTTTATCATAAAATGTAAAAAAACAGGGACCCCCCAGGGAATTAACGACTGCCTTATTCGTGTTCCGATTCACATACGATTCTGCCCCTATCGTCCATCCTGACAATGAAATCGCACCATCCCAGGCAGGCTGGTATCGGCAACACCCCTCATCCTGTGCCCAAGAAATGCGCTCGCATTCGTGCATCAAAAAATCAGCACCTTCCAATCATCCCTTGCAACTCATGGGGCCACGCGCGCGCGATGTCGCGAGCGCATGCCACATTCTTCTTTCTGCAAAATCGAGCGTCCCGAAAACACGCAATGCTACCAAATGGGCGTTTCGCACGCGCATCTCGGAATCGTTCGCGCGCTCCTGCGCGCGCGCTGTCGCAATAATCCCTTATAGAAAATCGGACGAAGTACGCACGCGCGCGTCGTGGCGCGCGCACACCGAAATCCGTCAAAAACCCAAGGTTCTCCAGAGATTTCAAAAGCGAGTACCCCGAAAACATACGAAATCAACAGGTTTTGCAACAGCAGTTTCCAAGACAAAAAAAAGCTTGCGCTCGCGGTCTTACGGATTCTTCAGAAAGCCATAGCCAACATTTTCGTTACATTCTGCCGAGCGGGCCTCTCGCGCCGCACGTCGAAATCATTCGAACGCCCTTGCGCGCGTGCTGGAGGGCACGATCCGTGTCAATTAACACCATGTGGGCCACTCTACGCGTCGGCGGCGCGCGCATGTCGAACTCCTTCCAAAACCTCCATCACCGACGCGAGGACGCCGTCATCGTTGCCGGCTTGATCAGCATCGGTGCCGTCATTGGCCTTGTCGTCGTCTTTGTCACCATCGTCACCAGCATCGCTACTATCATCCTCGCGTCTACCGTTGTCGACGTTGCTGTGATACCGCGCCCGCCCAAGGCGCCGATGCGCACCGAAGTGCCGGCTGGGAAATGCCCAGCGGTCAGCGCCACCGCGGCCGCGCCGGTCGCGCCAAATTAGCTGGCCGCTGCACGCGCGAGCATGCGCGGGCTCGCGCGGCCGCAGAGATGCACCTGCCAACTCCAAGCATTCAGCGCCATCGTCGCCGCATGAGCTTACGCAAACCAAGTTGCGGGTGGGTGGGTGGGATGACTGCGCCACCAGTGAAGTTGACATCTCACTGCGAACAGCAACTAATGGCACCGCATAGCTCCACCTAGATTGTACCGTCTATACTCACGTAGTATATCTACATATATGTACGTTGTACCCTCATGTATCGCACCATGCTCTCTGCACAACATAGGTTGCACAGTACGGATTGCACAACATATTGCACAACTTAGATTGCTCCACGTAGATTGCACAGCATCGATGGCTAGAAACACAGTGTTTGGGGCCCGTGTTGGCTAACATGTGGCGATGGGGGCTGACGATTGTTGAAGCGAGAGCACCGTTATGACATCGGTCCACGCTCTATCGAAGTGGCTGTTGGAAACATTTTCGATGCATGCGCGTTGCGTGTAGACGAGAGCTCGATTTTGCAAGCCTTCCCCTCAATCTGTCGAATTGCTCGATTTTTGTTCTCACGAGTGCGCGCTGCGCCAAGGCGAGAGTCACATGTTGAAGCGGCGTGCGCTCCATGCGTACACCGTGTCTGGGAGTCGGTAAGACGACTGTGTGCAGCGCTAGGGATATAGTCACAGTTTAAAATCGGTCCGCGCCCCATCCTTGCACTTCTTCCGCCTCTGCAGGCGTACTTGATTGTCCCTCTGGCGAAAATCACATCTTAGTATCGGCCAGACTTTCACCCGTGAATTTGCTGAGAATATTTAAGGATCATATACGCGGCGCTGTGGCGAGAGTCAGAGGTTGAAATCGGCACGCTCCCCAACCGTAGAACTACTGAGAGTGGTCATGTATTCGGCGTTCAGACGAGAGCCACATTTTGAAATCAGCCCGCCCTCTATGCGTGTGACACGTTGTGGGTTCGAAGACGCATGGGCACTCCGCGAGGCCGAGAGCCATATTTTCAGATCGGCCTGGACCATAAGCGGTGAGGAAGATACATGCGAAATGCTCCAGCCCGCCCTACTGACACGCCTGGTGGCGCTACGAAGACGAGTCATAAGTCAAAGAAAGAAGAATGGGGGAAAAGGAGGGCGAGCAGCAGGCCGAAGATCGGAAGCAGACAGAAGAGGTGGAGCCAGCCGACGAGGGCCTCATCCGAGGAGGAGGAGGAGGAGTAGGAGCTCTACGAAGGCCTCCGGCGGCCTCCAAGAGATCCAGGTCTCTGGAACTCCCCGAGCGGTTCCCTGGAGATTCCCAGAGGCTTCTGGATGCCCCGAAGACGCAAGCGTCTTCCAAAAGCGTCCTCAGACTCCAGCCCGCAACATCGCCCAAGGACGTGCTCCAGAAACGCCCCACTGCATCCTCGGCCTCGTTCCTCGCGCTTGATCCTCGATCGTCGGTGTCCGAGGACGAAGGAGGAGGAGCAGGAGGAGGAGGAGGAGAAGGACCGAGGAGCCTCGAACCTGGGGCGTCACCCCCCCCCCCACACACACACCTCGTCCGCAGGTGCGGCCACAGAGCCAACTGGGCCTCGCGCCTCGTCTGCAAGGGCTGCGGCCACCGCGCGCCCGTGCGCGTGGCACGCGAGGCACGCGAGGCGGCTCGGCTGGCGCAGACGAGGAGGGCACCGGAGCGGTCGAGGAGGAGGGGGGAGGAGGGGTTGCAGAGAGGGAAAGGAGGAGGGGAGAGGAGGGTCGAGAAGGGAGCGGACAGGAGGGCAGAGAGAAGAGCGAAGGGGGGAAGGGCGAGGGGTAATCAGTGGGGGGGGCGTTGACGTTTCGCGTATCTCCGCCAGCTCATCCATAAACGGTTCCCGGGCGAGTTGCCTTGATCACGGACGCGTAGAGGCACGCAGTGGAACAGAGAAGGAGACATTCGTCAAACCGGAATTCGGGATCAGCCTGGGCAGGCCCGGCAGTCAGCCAGAGAGGCCGTCGCGAGCTTTTCGATCTGGATGCATGCTGATGTCTGCTCCGGACCATCTTTGGGTCTTGGTGAGGCTGTGTTGAGTGCACTCGGGGCTCACATGGGCCTCTCTTCGAGGCTTTTTGGGACCCTCTTGGGACCATGTTAGAGGGCATCGATTAAGAAAGGGGGCGGCATGCGTCGGAGCTGGAAGCATCATCTTTTGGGGTTCCCGTGGAGCCTTGTTGGGCGCTCTTGGGGAATTGATGGGTCCCTCTTGGTGCCTTCGTGGGCGATGTTTGAGCCATCATGAGGCCCCAGAAACACATCGGAACCGTACACGCTAGAAGGCACAAATCGCCAAAATGCTTGCGGGTACAGTCATGAAAGATGGTTGCCGGCGTGGGTTCCAGTGGGTTTTTGCACTCTCGAGGTGCATTCTGTGTCACCATTCGCCAGCCTGCACCGCGCAAGACCACCTCCAATGCTCGTGGTTTGCTCCAATGCTCGAGCACGTACCCTGCCCATCCCCAAATTGTCGGCAAAACTCAGCTGGCGCAAGGACGCGAGGATCCTTCTCGTACAGATCCTCGACTCGGGTGGGCGAGTGATGATGATGATAATGATAATGATAATGAGAATGATGATGATGATGATCATAATGGGGCTGATGAACAGGGCGGCGACGATGACGACGGCGATAAAAATATTGATAACGGGTGTGGGGATGATGGGGATGAAGTTTGTGATGATGATGATGATGATGATGATGACGACGATGAGGAAGATGATAGTGGTGGTGATGATGACAACCGCGGCGGCGATGATGATTCCTTTCGCTTCGCGGGGTGCACGTCTGGTGCCCTGCTCGTCTGCCGCGCAGTCTTGCCGTGCCGTACTGCCAGCCCTGGGGCGCTGCCAGAGCCGCGGGGGGCGGATGCGCCCCCCCTCCCGTTCGAATGTCCACGAGGGCAGCTGGTATCCACCGCGTGTCAGCACACAAGGCAACGCCAAGTTCAAATTCCGATGAGGATAGCCACAATACGCCATTTACATACGATGCCGCGCTTGTCTTGGTGGTTTCGCGGGGCCAGCATCCCACAGAACAGACCTCGTCCTCGCCGATAGCCGCGTACAGCGTCCCACGCGCCCTCCTCGTCGGTGAACACCTCAGCCTGCTCCTGTCGGATGGTCTTGCCTTTGCTGGCCGTCGTGATACGGCGAGGCACCTCGTGGATGGGGAGGCTGCTGTCCAGGTCCTCCACCGCCTTGTAGACCACAACGTCTGTTTTCCTTCCCAAGCCGCGTAGGCTGGTAAAAACCCACGGAAGCAAAGTCTGTGATGTTCAAGCCTCAAGACCCCTCGCTCGTCCTCCGCAGCTTGATCCCGTTGAGGCCGAGCTTCCGGAAGTCCGCCGTCCCTTCGAACATTCCGATGACCATGCCGAGCGCTTTCTGTGTCTGGAGGGACATAGCAGCATCTTCGTAGGCGACCCCAGAATCAGATTGGAGCTGATCTCGCCATTCTCGCCACCGATGCCGATCGGTAGTACATCTCTGAACTTCGCCTACTTGCGTTCTCCACCGCCGAACCGATACTTCACCTTGCACGGGTGTGACTCGACACAGAACCCGTAAATCTCGTTCAGTTTCGCCGAGTTCCGTTCCAGCAATCGTCGCCGTGCATGGTGCTCGTACACATCGTGTCCAAGCGTGCGATCTCGTCATCGTCACACTCGCTCTGGTCGTCCGTCACGTCGGCCACGGCCGCGAACTTCTCGTGGTGCGGTCGTCGGACTCCTCGATGGACATCATACACTTCTCCATCTCTCCGTGATGGTACTTCCTGCTGGTCGGAAAATATCTCTCCGCCGTCCGCGCTCCACATTCACACTTTCAAAACGATGGCATACTGGTTCCTGTGACCTTGCACGATCCCGCCGTCGGGACACCTCTTGCACAGTCTGACGTCGTTCGGTGCCCACTTCAGCTTGGCGATCCACTGCTTGATCTGCCCCTCTGTCAGGTCACATCAGCCGCCCTTCTTCGGCGTCACCGGTGCCTGGCGGTCGTCATGCACCGAAATACACACTCTTCCAGCTCGTATGTGGGTGGTCGCTCCTCCCTCGCTTGTCGTCCACGCCCTTGCTGCGTGCGACTCACTGCCGCTCGCCCCACTTGATGACGCCGCCGCCGTCGAATCGGGACAGCACCGACAGCTCTGGGTGTGACCTTCTCGTCCGATGCTCGCGCCGAAACTTTCACACGCACAATCGACCACACAACAGGGTTTACCACACCTCTTCAACACCTCTGTGCCAGGCTGGCGGCTGTTCGTCTCCCACGGCGCCTCTACTTTGGCCGCACCCTTGCCGTTCATGTAGTTCTTCGTCGGGCTCTGAGTGGGGGAGACTGGCACAGCCGCCGCCGCCGATGTCGATGACGGGTTCGGTCCCAACACAGCTGGGGCTGGCTGGTCGTCCACCATCCGGTAGTGCTCCGGCGACATGAGACGCTTCTTATCTTTGTCCTTCTCCGTGCTGTCCATGTCGCACGCCTCCGCGGCGTCCTCGTCCACGTTGTCCCTCACGGCGAAGAAGCTCTTCTGCATCCGTTCACCACCGCGGCCTCCACTCTTGCAACCGCCGTTTTTGCCACCGCGTGGTTGGAATCTGATTCGGCGCTACCTGGATCTCCAGCCCAGTGGCCGAGCGCGCCGCACACTCTGCACCGAGTCTGCTTCTCTGACTCCTCGATCCGCTCCTTCCTGTCCTCCGCCGTCTCCTTCCTGCCGTTGATCAGCTTCCCAGGATGCGTGAACTGCCGGGCCTGATCCTTCAGCTCTCTCAGGTCCCGTCTTGCGATGAAGGAGGGAGGAGGGAGGAGGGAGGAGGGAGGAGGGAGGAGGGAGCGCGGTCTGCTCGGCAACGAGGCACTCGCCGAGAGCGCCGCCCGCTGCTCCTCCGCGAGCTCGTCGCCGGCCTCAACTCCCTTCTGGAGCTCGTTCGGCTCGTTCTCCGGGTCTGTCGTGCCCTCGTCGGACTCGCCGTCGTCCCCGTGCTCGTCGTCTGGCTCTGGCTCTGCCTCATACTCCTCGCGCCGTTCCGCGAGGCAGGCATGCCTTCTCTCGTGCTCACCTCCGACTTGTGTGGGTCCGCGAACTGCACTCTGATCGCCTCCGTCAGTCGCTTCGGGTCGTAGGCATTGCCGCAGCTGGCCAGCGCCTGGGAGCGCTGAGCCTTGGAGAGGCTACTCAGCTTGAGCAACAAGTACGCCTCGATGTTGTCACTCGACTGAGTCAACCTGTCCGCCCCCAGCAGCTGCTGCCCGACCTCGCTCCTCTTCGTCAGACACGAACTCACCGACTCTGCGCTGCGCCGGCTCGAGTTGTCGAAGTACCGGTCCAAGAGCTCGTCAGCGCGATTCGGCTCGATGCCCTGGATGGCCGCTTTCAGCGCACTCACGAGCGCCTCGATCTTTGAGTCACTGCCCAGGTCCGCCTTCGCGATGTTGGCGGCGTTGACCCCTGTGTAAGCTTCTCCTCGCAGCGCATTGTAGAGCCTCGGGCCCAGTGGCCCTGTCTCCTTGGCGACCTCCTGCGTGTTGCCGACCTTCAGCGTGTCGGCACGGTACAGGTATTCCTCGAGCAACTCCGGCGTGCCATCGTGCATAGGGATGCCGTGCTCGAAGGTCAGCACAGGTGGCATGACGAGGATGGTCTGGGAGATGAGCTCGCCCTGCTGCCGTCGTCGTCGTTGGTCAGGTCACCAAGGTTAGATACACTTTGCCCTGCTGCCGCCGTCGTCGTGAGCGTTTCCACGCCGCCGCGGCACCGATGGATAAGATGGATGCCTCGCGCCCGTTTTGCTGGGTGCGAGGCGATCGCACGCTCAGGGCCCCCTGCATCCAGGCTGAGACAGAGCAACAGAGGGCGTGAGAAGGCCTTGCTACATTAGGCACGGATGCTAGTTCACACCTGTGCTGGTGGTTCAACAGGCACTCGCTTGAAACACGGGGGCGGCGCAGATGAGTTCAGCCTCCCTGGGCATTGCAAATTGCCTCGTGGTGCCTTGCGACGGAGGTCGGAGCGCTATTGCAGGTCATCGAGGCCGTCTTGGAGCACCTCTTGGCCCCTCTTGGGACCGTTTTGGGCGATCTTGGAGGCGCCCTGAGGCCTGCGAAGCCCAGCGGAAGCAAACATGCGAGAAGGCAAACATCGTTGAACACCGTATTTGATTGATGGGTTTCGGCTTGTCGGTCGCATGTGTAAAAGTGCCCTGACCACTTCGAGCCTCTTGGAAGCATGTTGGAGGGCATGGTGGCCACATGTGGCTCTCCTTGGCAGTGGGGGTCATCTCGTACTTTCTCATGGTTCGTGCTCCCCCCGCCCCGATCTAGACCCAGGGGAGGGACGTCCCCCAATAAAAGCACGGGTCAGCCTCTCTAACCCGCCGCTTGGCCACAAAATCGGCGTGTCTTGTCCTCGTCTTGGACTCGGCGAGGCATGACGCGGTGAGGCGGTAGTTAAGATAGTCGCCAAAATGACACGAGATGGTCTAAGATGGTCTACTAAGAAGGCGTCAAGAGGCCTCCAGACCGCCACAAGACGGCCTGAAGTGGCCTTCGAGCCTCCCCAGGATGGCCCCGAGAAGCCAAACGCTGTCAACCATAAGTAGGTATCCGCAGCAATCTTGGCTCAAGCCACTTTGGCTCTAGGGTGGCCCGAGTGCGTTTGGCGCTCGCTTTCACAGTCCGTGCAATCGAATCATAGCTTTCTCGTTCATTCGTTTCGCAGATGTCGCGTGTTCTGTTGATCGCCAGCCTAGTCTGGGCGCGCGGCGCGTCCAGACTGACCACTGCAGGCGACCCCGAGTTCGCGCAGATGCGGAGGGGCACTCCGTCAGCGTCGATGGTGAGGTTGGGCAGGGAATTGTACACGCACGCTGACGTGCCGATCTACGCCTACACGAATCATGGTGACACAGATGTGCAGCGGCTGCTGCAGCCGCAGCGGAGAAGTGCACCCACACAGTCGTCAGTGCCGATCTATCCCCACGCGGTCGAGACGCACCGGCTGTGGATTCTCGAGCTGGTTAGCAACGCTACGGACAAGGAAGTACAAGTGATTTGCCAGGAGGTCGAGAACTGCGAGTCGAGCAACCCAGATTCGGGCGAGTTGCCATTTGTGGTGGTACGCTTGAGACTAGAGGAACTAAAGGCGCTGCTGGATAAATACCCGGGTGTGGTGAAGTTTGCAGAAGAGGATGTGTTTGAGACCATGAATCTTGAGCCCATTGATGCAGACGACAGCCCACTGGAGCGGCAGACATACCCATGGGGCATCCAGTCCATCAACGCTGACGTGAGCAGGGGACGGGGCGTGGGGGTGAACGTGTACGTGCTGGACACTGGCATTCGAACAACCCACGCCTCGTTCGGCGGCCGGGCCTTCGCTGGAGTGGACGTGGCCACCACGGGAAGTTTCACAGTGTGCGAGCCGAGCAGCACAACGTGCGCTGCAGACGGCCATGGGCACGGCACCCACGTCGCAGGCACAGTTGGGGCCTCGACATATGGCGTCGCGGATGGCGCGACCCTCTGGGCAATGAAGGTTATCGATGATCTTGGGTACGGTTACGTCAAGTGGTCCATTATGGCCGAGCAGTGGGTGAAGTCGTCTGGTGCCAGGCCAGCGGTGGTCAGCATGAGTCTCGTGGGTGTTGGCAGTAGCATAGCGGAGCTGGACTCTATCGACAAGTTGGTGGAAGATGGCGTGACAGTGGTGGTGGCTGCAGGGAACCAAAATGCGGATGCATGCGGCTACACTCCGGCTTGGATCCCGTCGGCGATCACGGTGGCATCTTATGGCGGGCCTGCAGGATCGTCGCCCGCCAAATCGTCCTTCAGCAACTACGGCAGCTGCATCGATGTCTGGGCTCCGGGCTCAAGCATCCTCTCGACTTACCACCTCAGCGACACTTCGTTGGGCACGTCGTCGGGTACTTCCATGGCGTGTCCACACGTCTCTGGCCTCGCGGCAATTATGTACGAGGTGTACCCATCGGCTGGGTCCATGACCGCTTCACAGAGATGGAGTCTCCTGACGGCCACAAACCGGTCTGGTTGGGTCACAGAGATTCCTCAAAGTCCTCCCAGTGTCAATTTGGTGGCTGAGGCAATCCCGCTGGCACCATCGCCGACAGCTTCGTTGACACCCTCGCTGACACCAGCACCGACTATCTCGTTGACACCATCGCCGACACCCTCGCCGACACCCTCGCGGTCAAGCTCGCCAATCAACTTGCCGACACCGTCGCCGACATCGTGGACACAATCGCCGACACCGTCGCCGACAACCTCGTTGTCACCCTCGCCGACACCGTCACCGATAACGTCGTTGAAACCCTCGCCAGCACCAGCACCGCCGCAAGCACCTTCGCCGGCGACAGCTACTCCAGCATCGCAACCGATCTCAGCCGTGGGAGACCCCCACCTCACAAACATGTACGGCGAGCGCTTCGACATCTACCGCACAGGCGTACACGTTCTCTTGCAAATACCGCGATGGGCTGCACCGCAGGAGACATTACTACGCCTGGAGGCCGACGCTAGGCGCATAGGTGACGCTTGCTCAGAGTTGTATTTCCAGGCAGTGAGAATAGATGGTAGATGGACAAACCACAGTCACAAGCTCGAGTTTGCCGCGAAGTCGGATGACAAGCCAAACAGTATGAGGTGGACACGCTTCGGCAAGGTCGAATTGAAGGTGGTAAACGGTCGCACTCGCCTGGGCATCGACTACCTCAATGTCTTTGCCAGGAACATTGCCAATACCAATTATCCAGTCGGCGGCCTCCTGGGGGAAGACGACCATGGTGCTGCGACCACTCCTCCGAAAGAATGCATCAGGCAGTTGGTTCTTCTGGAGCGACAGAGTTCCTTGCAGCGCCAGGCAAGCTACGCCTGACCATGATGATGCCTTCTGCCTATGAAGTGCTTTGTTTTGCCGCCTGTTGCCCGCTATGAGCGGCCATGCGTTTACTAGCCTCGAGCAGCCGAAGTCTGCTGTAATCTTCCTTCTTCCCTCTCTGTTTTTGTTCCGTTTCGCCTTGCGGTTGGCATGGCGCACGGTCGACATTTTGTATGCCTTGTGATGGCCGCATCAGTGGCGGCATTGCGGTCTGGCACGATTGGCTTTTGGATCTTTCGATGTGCATGTTGCACTTGCGGTCGCACCGGTTGTCAGAGATGTGGTGATCCGCATCGCATGCATTGGCAACCGCCCGATTGCAGCGAATGAGTGTTTTGTATGCGCCCGCGCGTGTGGACCTTTTTGATTGGCAGGGGCGTTTAAAGCAAATGGTCTATTGAGGTAGGCGAGTGCGCGCGCATGGCATTATTTTACAGGGATGATGGGGGGAACGGTAACCGGTCGCCTGGTATGGTACGAGGTCATACGGAAAATGAACGAGGAGGCAGAAACATATCTGTGTTTTACAATGTTTGCAATGGGGGGTCGATCATTTTCAGGGGAAGCGCGGTGGAGTTTATTTTTCCATTGAAAGGATAATCTACGTGGTGCAAATTACGCTTGCGTTCAAAGACGCCAGTCAAGGCCGTCTGCGAGTTGTTGAAACCATGTTGCGGGGCATCTTTACCCAAATTGGAATCCTGCTCAGGCCTTACGGCTGGTGCCGCTGACCCTGAGAGTGGCACCTTCCCCGGGAGCATTGGTGGCAATCCCCCCTGGGGCCCGCCGGGACCCCGTGAGGGGCGGCATTCTGACCCGGGACCCCCCCCGCCACCACAGGCGGGACCTCTTCCGGGACCCCGCTGGCGACCGCCTCCGGGGCCGGAGGGACCTTGAGGGTGCGGTATGCTGACGCGGGACTGCACCCCCCCCTTCCCTAAACCCCCCCCGCCTCTCTCCCCCACCACCCCGTCAGGGAAGGCAACAAAAACACCAGAATCGACTTAGTTACGACGTTCCTTTTCCTAGCTTCTCAGTTTCACTGGGACTGGCGGCGACGACGACGACGAAGACGGAAAAGCGACTCACACACACGTCGAAGGGTCGGTGCATATCAGGTCATTTGGGGCCATCTTGCGGGAACCTTGGCCCAAAAAGTCCCATCGGAGCCGTCCTGAGGCCTGCGAAGCCCAGCGGAAGCAAACATGCGAGAAGGCAAACATCGTTGAACACCGTATGTGGTTGATGGGTTTGGGCTTGTCGGTCACATCTGTTCAGGTGCCCTGATCACTTCGAGCCTCTTGGAAGCATGTTGGAAGGCATGGTGGCCATATGCGGCTCTCCTTGGCCGTGGGGCATCTCGTACATTCTCATGACTCGCGTTTCTCCCCCCGTCCAGATCCAGGGGAGCGTCTTCCCCCAATAAGAGCACGCGTCAGCCTCTCCAACCCGTCGTTTAGCCACAACGTCGTCGTGTCTTGGACTCGGCGAGGCATGCCAAGGCGATGCGGCATTTGAGATAGTCGCCAAGATGGCACGCATTGGTCTACGGTGGTCTACCCAAAAGCCGCCAAGAGGCCTCCAGGCCGTCACAAGACAGCCTGAAGTGGCCATGGAGCCTCCCCAGGATGGCCCCGAGAAGCCAAAAACTGTCAACATACATAAGTGGATTTCAGCAGCAATCTTGGCGAAATGCCACCTTGGCGCTAGGGTGGCTCGAGTGTTTTTGTCGCTCGC